TTGTTTGAACACAAGAAACATTAAATAAAAAGCTTAAACATATAGTACCTTGTCTGTCATTTTTAATGAAATATATATATATATAGTATCACACATCTAAAATAGAGAGGCACTAACAATCATTAACATCAATAGTCATGGTAGATTTTTGGCATATATCTAGTGAAAGCCTTTATACCCAACTCTGAGATAATGTTACAACCTTTGGATGAAAAATCTCTTGGCAGAACTGCTGTGTTTGAGTGACACAAATATTTTAAAGAAAGTCAGTTGCAATGGTGGTCAATCAGGTTGAATATCACTGTGAAATATTCATCTTTCGTTAAGGAAAATTCTTCCACTATTAACACATGATTCATCTTTGTTTTGACATAAATTCACCAAAGGTTTTATAGTTCTTCAGAAAGACTGTAGCATAAGAATAGATTTCCTGGCAGATAAACCTGTACCTCCCAAAAACTGAAAAGACAGCTTCTTTTATAATGCTTACATCTACTATATATTCAAATTGTCCCTGTACAGATGAGTTGAGTGGGATCATTTTTGTTACCAAATAATCAGCCAAACTGTAGGCACCTGCAGAACAACTTATGAAACTTGACTGCAAAGATGTGTTTCTCATTAAATAAATTTAACTGTCAATACTAAAGAAGAAAAAATTACAAGGCTTGTCAAGAGTAACCAATTGATTTAATTGCAATTTATGGGCCCTGCTATTTATCTAAAACATCATTTGCACCATTTGCTAACATACCCATCCTTCAGGCAAAAGATAATTAAATCTTAAAATGCTTTGAAATTTTTGGATAGATTTAATTAAATACAACTTTGGGATAGGTTAGTTATTCTGGCTTCGTTTTTCACCGAGCCAAACTTAATTATTATAAAGTATATAAGGGAAATAACTCAGAGAAAAGCAACTGTTGTTTGAAGTTTTCATTAAGCAACACATTGTTGTTGTTTTCATTACATTTCTACTGATATATTCGTCAGCCTTTACCCAGATGTTGCATTCTGTGATCTTTAGAATTTACTTTTTGGTTTTCTTCAATAATTTATGGTACTGGAATCAAAGGTTGCAATTTCAAGCATAAAATGGTATGATGTTGTGTTTTTATAAAGGAGATGACTAAGAAAAAAGACCAAATAATCTCTAAAGACCACTATGTGCAAGATATACATGAGGAAGGCTAAAGAATATATCAGCTGAAATGGTGGGTAGATAAAGATCCTAACTTTCATATGGAGTTAAGTTGTAGTTTTTATGATGGAGATGAATAAAAAAAAAAAAAAAAAAAGCACAGTATCTTCTAATTATCTCTGGATGCAACATACACCTGAGGAAGGCTGAAGAATACATCTGCTATAATACAAAAATAACAAAATCAAAAAACAAAACTGAATTTATTGAATCCAATAAGAACGTTTAATGTTAGCCTTCCTAACATTATAATTCATATCAAGTTTTTTAAAACAATTTGTTGCTGCTGAACAGTAACTTAGTATGACAAAAATTGGTACCTAACTTGTACTATTGTATAATTACATTCTATTATACTATTATAAATATTATTAAATATTTACAAATTAATGGGTGATCCACCATAGAGCAATAGTAATAAAGCTAGTGATGAAACCCTCATTGAATGCTCTACACACATGGCCTTGTACCAGATTAAACTTATTAATCTTTAAGGGTATGTTAACTAAAGTAGTCATTAATAAGCTTGGTAGCTGAGATAGTTGCATATTTCAAATCCTGATTTTCAAGGCAAGTAGACCCTCACTCCCCACTTGGAAGATTGATGCAACACTCAATCTGTCTTTAGTCAGCTAAGTTTTGTTAATATTAACAATTAGAATTATTACATTTTATTTTTTATTAGATGACACATTATCAACCATTTATTTTTATCTTAATTTTTAATTTAAAGGGTGGATCTGTAGTTTAACTTTGACCTTTTTTTCACAGGTGGTGAATTCTTATAGCTTAGTGGTAAAGTAACTGGTCTGTTCAATGAGGCTTCCCTTCTTTTTTTTTTTTTTTTTTTGAAATTTTTCACCACTAAGCTACAAGAACTCTTCAGTCTTGCCAAAAGGGAATAAAAGTTTTGATGCATTTGTTTAATAAATCCTACCTGTTATATCATGGGTTAAATAATACAAATTTTATTTTTGAAAAAGTTATTTCAGTTCAAAAAAATATTTTGCTTTGACTCAAGGTCTAAAATTTTCATTTTTGCTGGTATTTTTGGAGTTGACAAATAATTAAAAAAAAAAAATGTTTTAAATTACATGGAATGCTTTTTTAACCACTTTTATAGTTTGTGTGTCTTTTTTATAAATTTTTTGTGTTTAAAAATATTAAAAAAAAAAGAAAAAAAGATTACTAATCAAAGGGTTTTGAAAAATCATTGAAAACACTTTTGAAATACAAGGTGGTACCTGAGAAGTTCTTGGCCCCATCCACTTTCCAAAATTTAACTAATTGACCAAACATCAGAATTTTTGAATCCCTTCTTGACCCAGCCAAAACTTTTCAGCACCCCCCATAAAATCATTAATTCTATGAGAATTGTATAATTATTAATTATATTTTATATTAATATTATCTAATCACAAAATTGGAATTAAAATAAATTAAACAATAGATATTTTTATATCATAAAATTATTATAAAATGTTTAAAAAGTAAATTTTTTATTTTTATAATTAATTTATCTGTACCTTGAAAAGTTGACAGCAAAATTTTAAGTAATTTTATGATTGCTTTGTACTGACAAAATATCAAAGATTTTAGTTTTCTTTGTATTTTCAATAATTTTTGAATATTGAAGGAAAGTTAAATTAATTAAAGATAACAAGTAAAAATCTTTCCTCATGACATAAATGAAAACAGTTATAATAATAATAATCATAAAATTTATTGAAACAAAACAAGTACAGTTGACCACTGATGACAATTCCAGAACAACATAACTATACACAATTTTTTTCTAACCTCTGCCAGCTGCAATGATGGAGAAAGCATTACCTTGAACCATGGCCAGTGAGACACACTGTAAGAGCCACTCCATTTTGCGAGACGCAATTGCGCCAATCCTCTGAAGGAATGCCATCGAACGAGGGCCAATAACCCCTGAAGTCTCCACTGCCACAGGAGTAAAAAAAAAATCTATCAGCAAGAGAAGAATATTTAACTATTTTTTTCATCTCTGCATCCCGGATGACGGATCCTGGCTCAACTGCGGAACTGATCAAATTACCGACCGAAAATGTATCCGCACAGGTCGCATCCTAAATCAACGACTTCCCCATTTTAAAAGGGAAAATGGTAATGCCATCCGACTGCTTTCCATCACCGCAGTCGAGGCCTAATACACACACAGATGGACATTGAATTATACATGTGAATAATTTGTAATTTAAAATTTTGTCCTTTCTGTTCTTGATATTGTTAACATAATGGCTGATCTATTCTTTAGCCTTCACCATTTCACTTGGAAAAATGGCAAAATAAATGAATGGTTGTTAAAGAAACACATTAACAACAACCTGTACATAAAGAAGGGGTTCTGTTGTTCAAACAAAATTTACAATGTTAGTTTTTCTCGTATTTACTGACAATGTGTAATTTTCATTACTTTTTGCTGTTAGATAATATTAATATAAAATACAATTAAGAATTAAATATTTCTCATGTAACAACTTGTGTGATAAAATGAGTTGGTAACTTTTTAGATTATTTTTGTTATCATATTATACAAGTTGCAATGCAAAATATTAAACATTGAAAATCATTTTTCTGTTTTTAGTTTTTATTAAGTGTTAACTGTTGCAGTGAAAAAACACATTAAATTTTTTACATGAAAAATAAAATTATCAAAAATTATTTAGTACATATAAAATGTTTAATATATTACAATTTATTAAAATTTTATTTGAAAAAGTCTCATATATTGACATTATTAAATACAAATTTGACACATAAAAATAAAAAAGTAAATATAATTTCAATATCAGCATCATTAAGTTTTAAGACTTTAATGTGAATTTAATGAAGTACTTATTTATTAAAATTTATTTAAAATTATTACCTTTTATTATGTAAAATTTCTTTTAGAAAACAGATTTTATATTTTCTTTGAATTTGTCAAATATTAAATAAAAATGTATTTTGTTTTATCAAATAACATTTACAATAGGAACTGATTTTTTTGTTGAATTTATTTTGATCCAGAAAAGCAAGAAAACAAATGTAACATGTGGATCACTTTTTAGAGGAAAAGGCAACTTTTTTTTTTTCTTAAAGGGAGGTAACAATTATTAAAGCATCCGGAAAAGAAGTTGAATTGGGAAAAACCAGTAGAAGTGAATTACAGAACATTTATTTTAAAAATGCAGAACTGACATTGACACATTCAAACAACATGACATGACATAGAAGAATTTGCAGTTTTCAGATAAGCATGTGCAAAGATAGTAGGAAAATATAAAATATTTAGGATTTAAAGAATTTATATATATATATATATATATATATATAAATAAATCAGTATTGTGAAGAGAGAGAGAGACAGAAACTGTGGTGATGAAAGAGAGAAATGTGTAGAGAACAAACTCACAGCAGTTTGGAAGAGGAAAAGTGGAAGTGGTGTTTGGCTGGCCCCATTCTTTAGGAAATTAACATGGATTCTTTATGGTATTCTAAAACAAACAATTGGTTTGGTTGATTCGTTTTCTACAGTTCATCAACCTTTTGCAGGTTATTTAAAGCCAGAAAATATTTTTAGATTGAAAGAAATTTTTTTTTTTTAAGATAATGATTTTAGTGATACACGTCTTACTAATTAACCCATAGCTGGGGGAAGAAGAGGTGGATTCATACCGTTCCCAAGTGCACATAAGTAAATATAATGAAGCCAATGAGAATTGGAACTTGGCTCTCCAATTAATAATTCTGTGCTGTTATCCATTACATCACCTGCACATCCAAGCTTATGACACCTGGTATTCCCAAGTGGTCTTCCATTTAGATACTGACCAGGCTTGACATTGCTTAACTTTGGTGATCATATGGGAACCAGTGTTCCAACATGATGTGGCCATAAGCCTAAATCAAACAGTGTTGTTGGGCAGCACTCAACTTCTTTCCAAACAACACATCAAAGGTAGGAGGTTACATGATTCCATAAAAAATATCCTCGACTGAATTCTGCTCTATCAACTACTGTGACATGCCAGAAACAAGACCTTTATTAAGACTCCTGATCATGGGATAATGAGATATGGATTCATGCCTTTCTCAAGGCATTAGTGCAAAATGAAAATTTAACTTTGATTGCTTCTATTGGATCTTTTTATTCATGTTAGCTTGAGATGAAAACTTTATATGACCACCATTTTGATTATCAATCCTTTCACCAGTTTGTATATATATCTTCAAATTTGAGTGAAACATGTCACTTTTCCTTGAGTGTCTGATATACTATTGTTGTTAATGTGTGATATAATATTTGTGAACTATATCATCAACCATTTCAGGAGAAGCCTTGCTTTGATTGTTAAAAAGAAAAAACATAAAAAAAAACCAGTAATTTCTTGTTAAACAAGTTGTTTCAAAGCAATCATTGCTTTCACTGCCTTCATAACAATCTAAAAACTGACTTTAATCAATACCCAATTCCCTGATAAACTCTGTAGGATAAAGACATTTCTTGTAAAATATCTTATCAGCTGCTCCAGGAAAGTCACTTTTTTCATTGTTTTCATGTCTGAATTGTCTTCAGTCACAAACGAATTCATTCCCAGAATGAATTTCTAGAACTTAGCAGTGTTCCTCAAAAATATATGCACGTCTTTTCTTCATGTGTGCTGTTATTTTTAAATGCTTGTCTGTTGTTTAGTAGGTGAACATTGTCTAAATTGTATTTATTTGCAAGAGGTGTAAATCTCACCAAAATGTTACTGAACCAGAAAAATTAATTTGCATTAAGTTTCATTTGCCTTCTTCTTCATTTCTCATTCAACTTGGATCTTCTTTTCAGCAAATGATATCTTTTTTTTAAACATTTTGCAGCAATATTTGCTGCTTCAATTTTCCTAGTAACATTGATGCCTGAAAAGTCTTAATAGTTTTTAATGCATTGCACTTCCAAAATGGTTTTATTTTCACCATTTTGGTTGTATTTGGTTTTTACATGTCAATATTTGAAAAGGATTTCCATTTTATAATTTGATATTTTCTTTTTCAATAGTAACAAAAGAACTTTTTTCATTGTTGTTTTGATCATTAAAATCTAGCTGATGATCTCTTTGACTTTTTTTGCTTATAATGTGTAAAGATGTAAGATGAAGTATTAAACTTATTCCATCAATTAATCATACAAGGATCTTTATTTTTGTTGTTTTGATCATCAATGTCCAGCTGATGCTCTCTTTGGCCTTCTTTGTTTGTAATGTGTAAAGTTGTGAAAGCAAGTATTTTACTTAACCCTACAATTGTTTAGACAAATATCTTCATTTTATTTCTTTAGCTGATCAAAAACAAAAATTTCCTAAAGTAATTGTTTCAAATAAAAACAAAACTTTGGATGACAATATTGCTCATGATAATTTAATATGAATATTTGCTAAATCACATTTATGTTGGCACAAGGATACAATATTAGAGCATTTTATAGCTATTGAATTTGGTACACTAGTGATTGTCTAGTGAGATTAGTTTAATATTATCCTATTCTAAGCTACGGACACATGACATTATTTATAACAACAACAAAGCAATTTCTCTTTCATTTTCTTTTGGTTTTTTGGATTGTACTTTATACTGACATGTAAATTTGAATAATGCAATGTTCAGTGACCCAAATTGTCTCTTCCTAATAATCAATATTTTAAGAATTGATTATTTCCATTTAGTTTAAATGATCATCTTTACTTTTCTTCATTCATAAATAAAAGATAAGAATCATAAAAGATAAAAGGACAAATAGAATTTTCTTCTTAATCCAAAGCAATGAATAAGTATTTCTCTGTCCAGACTAGAAATTTGGAAAGGAGTGGATTATTTAATTCCCTTGTAGGACAGAATTTAAGTAATGATAAAAAAAACCAGACATACCTATTACAAAAGAGGAAAATATTGGACAAGGAAGAAAAAAAAATACATTTACTATAGATGACAATACAAAAATAGCAAACATTTCTTAAGAAAACAGGGAATAGAATGAAGAAAAGCTGACTGGTTCTTATTCCTCTTTTGCTAGAACCTGATTGAAGAAAAATAAAATAACTGAGCATCGCCACTTAAAAAAGAAGTGGGGAGATTGACGATATGAAATACACATGTATTAATGTTATGATATTTATGAGATGATCACATTGAGACTTAACAAAAATTCTTTTTGTTTGAATAAAAAGAAGTTTGCTTAGATTTGATAAAAATGGTTTCTGGCATATATGTTTCTTTTTATAGCATTATTTCTTTAGGAATTCCAGATTACAGAAATATTTGAAATTTCTTGAACTTCTGATACGATGTAGTTACATTATTTAACATATTTTATACTAGTATCTGCATCTTTTTTTGTTGCTTTTAATTTTTAATTATATTTTCATTCTGCATATTCTTCAGAATTTTATTTTTTTCAATTCACGATAATGCCACTAAGATGCAAAGGGGCTACGGGGAGTGAAAGAGAATGAGAAAATTTTTAGAAAGAATTGGAAACCCAATCTTAAACAGAAAACAAGGAATAAAAACAACTGCAAACAACTTGAGATACTACAACTATTACTAATTAGTCCATTCTACATTTGGTTGACTAAGTAGGAATGAAGACTAGAGCCATAAACGCTAAAAAATAAACAAGTTCCTGTATGACTATCAGTGATTTATTTTTAACCAAAATGGTATCAGTATTGCTACATGATATATCAAACTCCTGTGGTATAGGAGATTTAAGCTTAATCCCAAACTACATTTTTCTTATCAATTCCTGAAATTTAATTTAAAAGTTGAAAATAAATCAGCCCCAAAATTGTGATAAAATGCAACAAACAAAATAAAGATACTCGTTTCTTACTAAAAATGTGAGGAATAAACTATTATATAGGCATTAAATGCTGTTTAGGATGTACTAAATGAGAAAGTTTAACTCTTATGACAAATTTTAAATTGAGACCTTTAAAGATCCCAAAGAATTGGCGATGTCAGATTCAAGGGAAATAATCCTACGTCAAGGGAGACAACCTTATTATTCAACTAATTTTTTAGCAAATCATCTGCATATAATAAGGATAATCTCCCTTACATCCCTTCTCTACACCCACTCGTCTCATTCTGCTTAGCGTAAGGTAAATAAAATAAATAACTGAATTAGAAAGTTAATAAAATAAAATAAAAAAAAACGCTTTTTAAAAGTTTATTTTTTAAACATTATCTTAAACTCGCAGAGTTAACAAAAAAAGTATTGTAAAAATATTACTTCATACTAATTCCCATTTTTGTTTTATAATTATTGTAATCACTAAGGATCTAATGAATAGTCACTGTCAGTTACGTGCCTCAGGCGATCTTGTCAGGTACTTCATTTTTATTCTGTAACTCTTTTGCGGTACTGGGTTATCTCCCTTAGGTTGGTGAGGCCCGTTTTATAAAGATGTTTTATGAAGATGAGAAGTGGAACCCCCCCCAGAAAAAACAGTGCAGTATCAACAAAAGGAAATATATTTAAAAGGCCATCATTTTTATAATGGCATGAGTAAATTAATCTGTACATTAATGCTTTTAATTTAATTGCAAAATTAAATTCGGGGCTTTTAGCTTCTATTTTTGAAACCTGGTTAGAACTGTGTAGCGGAAAAAACCATATTTTAAATCAATTAATTTATAATATTTTAAATTTACATTGAGCACTATTTTGTAAAAATAAAAATATCTATAAGAACACCGGATTATATATCTTACTGTTCTTTCTTTATATATATATATATATATATATATATATATATAATAATAATTATTATATACTTTATTCAGGTAATTAAGATATTATAGGAGAAATCTCTAAGAATAAAAGATTATATGAATACAAAACGGATCTTTTACAGCACAACACACACATTGCATTAATTGCTCAACATGATGAGTCTTCTGACCATAATTTTGATTTAAAAAAAAGTACTTCTTCTAATTAATAGAGAAAACAATTTACTAAGGTGAAAGTGCATAGAAAGTGCTTTGATTGCTAGATCATCCAGGTTCTTACAACATTTCACCTTTTTTGTCAAATCTTCTCTTATCACAATATGCAATACTTAATAAAAAGTGATAAAAAAAAGCATAAGGAAAATGAATAAAATCAACTAGACTAATTTTTTTTTTAATTTAAAATTTCAACAGCTTCAATGATTCCTGTTAGTGCATCATTATAACTGATGCTTGCATTTTTAGATCTCCCCCCTCTTCTTCTTCCACATATAATTCCATCAATAAAAACATTACTTTAATCTGCTGAAAACCTTGTAGAGGTTGAAATACATTACACAATATTTTTAATTCATCATTCATTTGCCTAACAATTATTATTGCAATAAATATTGATATTAAGTCTAATTAGCAGTTAATAATAAAAATCATTACCTTTTGATCATTATTGGGTTGGATTTGATAAAATTTTTTAAAAGTAATATTTTGAATGTTGACTGAATTGTTAAAATTGAAATATAAGTGTCTCAAATATACTTTTTTTTTTTTAAAAGAATACAGGTACTTGCTTCATGAATATGTAATTGTTTTTGCTCATTTCATGCTTGAAGTAGTTTGCTTATATCGAATTATTAATTTAACTAAATAAACACTTTTGATTGATAACAAATGAATCACATCACCCAGGGGATGAATCAAAGAAAATAAATATTAGATTTTCAGGCATGTTCATGTTTCATTCAATCCTCATCAGATAACCTTTATTAAAAAAGGTTGTTCAAAAGGATTTTAATTACAACAGATGAAATACTAAAAGCCTCATAATTCCAAGTCTCATCCTTTTTTTCCTTCTCAGTCAGAGTATTCCACTTTTGAAAGAGAAAATCCATTTTCTTCTCC